CACGGCCTGTGGCGCGTGAATGCTTCACGAAACTTGCTTTAATGAAAAAAAAAAACATCTGGAAGTCGTAAACTGCCACCCGTCATAAATGAAAACAGTTCATTTATGAGGCACGCTTCGCGTTGGTTGCGTGCGGCTGCCGCGGTGGTCGGCGATTGAGGGCTGGCGGGTTATGTGTCCCGAGCCTGGCCCGCGGTCAGCGAGGAGCATTTACGCGAGCGACAAGAGATATGCGGTGTGCGTGACTGGGGAGGAAACCGGCCTGATGGTCGGCTGGGAGAACGTGAGCAAAACAGTTGCCGCGGACACGGCGGCGAACCCGGCTGCTATGTCCCGTGCGGAGTGCGGCGTCGCGTGCGCTTTCCGCACGAGACGCTTGCCATTGGATATGAGGTAAGCCAGCGGTGGACAAGAACGGAGGGAAGAACAGGACACGGGCGCCGAGCGTTTCGGCGGTCAGAACAGAACACAGATGGTCAAACGACCGCTGCGGTGCCTGGCGTTTCTGCGGCGCGCTGGCCTGCCGAACTTTTAGCGGCGAACCATAGAGAAGGCTGTTTCATTTAGAGCGGGAATACATTGCGGGCGGAACTAGATGCATGCAGGTGCTTGTTCTTCGGTAAGCGTCAGAGTTTCTACGAAATATTTGTGTGTGCATTATTGCGAAGTGCAGATTCCATTCATTCATGGGATTCCGTGGCCGATCCGACCTCCGGCTGCCGGGATGCTTGGCTGGAACGGGATTTGATGTGCTGACTACCAGGGATGTAGATGGATCATGGGAAACAAACTTCATCTGTAAGCCAGTTCTTCGTGCAGTGTCATCGTGCATCGTTTGCAGCATTGACGGAAATCAAGGGGTGACGGCTCACGCCTCTCTTGCCTCCTTTATTCGTATGGCTGCTCCAAACGCTTAAAGATGTCCATTTAATGTATTTCACGACGCAATCGTAAGCCCATGGAGATACGATTAATTCGAACCTGAGATGAATATTGTAATGGCGCTTGTCGATTTCGCGCCACCTAGTCATGCGCCAAAGCTGACAAGGCGCGACAAAACAGCAAAAAACAAACGATCCGAAAACAGTAAAAACAAACCGATCCGAAAATAGTAAAAACAAACGATCCGAAAACATTTAAGACATCCTTCTGCTATTAACTATAAATCTGCTTCCTAAGACAAATTCAGCGACTGCCCAGCCTTCATTCCTTGCTCTCCAGACTTCCACTGCAGTTCGAGCGCTGTTCCGCGTTCCAAAAGAAAATCAAGAAAACCGCACTTACTACCACTTCAAATGCTAGATCTTCCCAATTTCACCACCGCCACTTGTCGATGTTACTGCAATGTTTCTGTGTTGTCAGAATCTCCAGTTGCTCCAAAACAGACCCCGCGAAGACAGTGAGAGTGCCTTATCACCGCAGAAGTGAGCTTTGCTGAGAACAATTTGTCGCAGCGAATGAATGAATTCATGAATGAAGGAAGCACTACTGCTGGGCGCCGGCAACATATTGCGCATGCGTGGTTGGTCGTTGTATTTGAAATACGCGCTGCTGGCAAGTGAGCGGAGATGCCTTGGCATTTTGGCGACGCAAAAATGTGAAATTGCAATCCGTCAGGTTAAGTTGATGTATGGATGGGAATGGTGTCCAGAATGACGATCAAATGGCTGGTGAATACGGGCAACGAATCGTTGCATGCGTTGATGTAAATTTCGCCACGACTCTGGCTGCAGTTTCAACGACGACGTGTTGCGTATCGGGCCGTTTGTCGTAATGCCGACATTCCCGGCTTTCTCTACGATTATCGGCGCAACCATGCGTCACTCAAACTCGTGTGGACAACTTAGTTGCGGATGGTACGTCGGTCGACGCTTTGCAATTGGATTCGCGCTTCTACGCGCATTAGGTGCCGAGTTGTGACGTAAAACGTTAAAAAAAACACGTGAAAAGGGGCCAAATCCATCTCGGCCGGTTCTGCGCACGCGACATGGGACACGCGCGCATCTGGCACCACGCGATTCCCCGTTCATTGAGCTACCTCAGATCCCTTCGCCACGTGCCCCGCCCTGTCTCGGACCTCAGCGGCTCGCGATACACCCGTGAAAAACCGCCTGGTGCGCGCCGCGTCCAATTTTCACCGCTCAGCGACCCGTCGTGTTCGATCCGCGCGCGGCGCTTCGCGGGGACAGATAGACGCGCCCTCACCAAAAAAGTCTTTAGACGAGTGTGGTTCGCCCGCTTCGCTGGGCGACTGCTGAGACCGTTTTGAGGCGAGCAGATTGTTACTTTGACACTTCCGAACTAGCCGGTTCACTGCTACATCTCATCACTCGCGGAGTTAGAATACATGGAGAAGGAAACACGCCTTTGCATACCAGTCCCCACTTTTGCGATGTCACCGAAAGCCGATTTGAAGAGATGCCATAGCAATCCCCAAAATCGCTTTCCCATTCGAAAATAACCTTTCTGTGCTTTGATGGGTAACTCATCTGACCTCAATACTAGATCGCTTTTGATGTGCCCCGTAACATGAAGTATCACATATTCATTCGGCTTACCCGATAAACCATCTAAAGCGCCTGCCACCATGTCTGAGACACTTGCCGCTTTGGCTGAAACAAAACAGTGATGCTGGTCGCCCGTCTCCGCCCCCGCCCCTACCACTACCCACGCTGCTGCCCTTGCGCTTGAGGCAAGTTAAGAGAAATGCTTCACATTTGACGATATTGAAGCAGTGGTCAGACATGATGAAGTAAGGTCACTTATAACGACTGGCACATTTCAACATTGGTTCGTTCATACCCGTGTCCTGGAAAAAGGTCATTATGCAAAGTACAGAAATCTTGCCAATAGTTTAAAAAAATGATAGCATGAGCTGATAAGGGAAGCGTTTATTAAAACCTGATTCAAGTGCTTACTTCGCGCGCATATGCTCCTTACGCCACAACTGTGCGGCCAAGCCGATGAGACACAAAACGCCAGGCGCAAGGAGGTCGGTGACAAACTTCGGCTTCTGGACCGCACTGAGGTGTAGCTTTTAGACCGGCTGCGGGAGGGCCGAGGGCCGTTGGACTCGTGCCGGCTACCGCCTTTCTTCAGGCTCGGACATGACCGGGTCCCACCGTCACCCCCCCCCCCCCCCGCTCTTCAGGCTCGGAGGTCGCCGGGTCTCACCCACACAACCCCCTCCCTCCAGGCTCCGAGGTCGCCGGGTCCCCACCACCACCCCGCCTCCAGGCTCCGAGGTCGCCAGGTCCCACCACCACCCCGCCTCCAGGCTCCGAGGTCGCCGGGTCCCACCACCACCACCCCTCCAGGCTCCGAGGTCGCCGGGTCCGACCGCCGTCGGACCGGCCTCTAACGGGCTAATGGCCGAGCGGAGCCTGAGTGCCTCCCGCCGCCGGCCACTCGACGCTGTTGACGTGAAAGAACCACCCCGGCCGCTCCGTTAACGAGTTATGGACGGCGCGCACGCCCCGGCGCCGGTTTTGCTGTCGGTTTGCCCGCTGTGCCGTGGACTTTAAAGGTAGTGCTCCACATTTGTATGGCGTTTCGAACTGAAATAGCCACCTTGAATGTTATTCGGTGCGGTTCACAGCCCTGCTCTTGTTGAGGCTTAGACCTCTTAAGTTTCTGACCTACCGCCGGCGAAGGTTCACGGACTATTTCTGGGAGACGATTTGAAGGCCACCCAGGCATCCATGACGGCATGTCATTCAAATCCCGCAATTCCATTAGCCGTACGGCGATCAATGTCAAGGTCAAACAGAGAAATTGTGTTGTCTAGAGCAGTATTTTCCACCTAATAGTATACCAATAGTTATAAGTGAACTGTTTTCGTCATATCTGATGCTTACTTCATTATCTTCTGATGTGGAATATTCGCTAAAACCTTCGCTCTCTGGAGGGGGTTGATGCAACTTCCTAAGGTTTTTTTAGGATATCTTTCCGGCACGTTGTGAAATAACACCGAAAGTTCCAGAAGCCTATGTGGCATCCATTGCGCGTGTTTCGACACCAAAAGGTTTTCCTAGTTTTTTTCTGGCTTCAGAGCGGCGGCGGTTTTTTAGGAACACTGCACGGCGGTGCACGACCCGAGCGGGCGGGCGGGCGGCAACCAACGATGCTGCGGGACGCGCGCGGCGGGCCGACATTGTTACATTAACGGAGCCATGAGAATACATGTATTTTCAGAGCATCAAAATATGCACAAGTGTACTCAAACGTCAGAAAGGAACACGCCTCTTGAAGTCTCATGTCGCAATAAGGTCGCGTAGGTCTGATGTTTTAAAGCTGAAGTGTGTTTTTTATTCGACCTTTGACCTACAATGATAGATTCAATGATTGACCGGATAAAAACTTCTACCAGTCGCGAAATCTCGTCGAGACGAACCCGCTGGCATTTTCCGCTAAGCTGTAACTGTATTTATTCCGAAACGGCGGGGATAGCATCGCCCCCCCCCCCCTCCCGTGAGCGGTCAGCGTTACGAAAAACGGCGAATCAGAGCGAGGGCGAAGTACACTTACCGCCCTGCCGTTCAGCCACTTCCCGACCTCGCAGACTGTGGCGCGCTCCAAAATTGATGAGGACAGCTTGGTCGGCTGCCGGCGAGTGGGCGGTCGGTCCATACGGCCAGCCACTCAATCATACCCGTGCTGCGCCGCGGCCGCCGCGGCCTCTCTGACCCTCGGGTGGCGCCGGCCGGCTGCAGACCGCCCCCAGGAAGCAGCACGGCCGCGCGGCTGCCCAGCCGTCCGTGTGCCGCGCGTGACGTGTGTGGCGGGCTCTGAGGTAGTCTGCAGTATGCATGCGCGGGTGCACGAGCCTTGGGTGTCATGGGACCAATCACCCAGCTACGTGAGGCGATTGGTCCGCAGGTCGTGTGCTGCGCGTGCGTTTGTGGGGGTCCGCACGGGATCGTCCGCCGTACATGCGCGTGTGGGCGGGCTAGCAGGCCGCTTGCTGTCCGCGTGTGCCTGAGCGACTGGCCCCGTTGCAGGTTCTTCCGCGTGGTGCCGGCCGCCGAGTTCTTGGAGACGTTCGCGTCGGACCGGTCTCACATGAAGCGTGACAGCGGCGCCTGGGCGTCGCCGCCGCCGCCGTACCCGCCGATCCGGACACAAGGTGAGCGCGCCGGCCGGGCCGCTCCGGAGGTCGCCGCCGTCCCGGGCACTGCCGGTCGCGAGGCGACGGCTGCGGTCCAGAGCCGCTGACGCCTCGGCCCCGTCGGCCCCGGAGCGCCGTCACACGGCGGAGTCGTCGCAATAGCCTAGAAATCACTTCCTGGTCGCCCTGTCGGCGCAGAAATGCGACATGACGACCGCCGAGAACAAAGCCGTCGCTGTTGTGCCGCCCCGTCGGAGGTTCTGCCGGCCATTGTGGCGTGGGCATGGCCGCTGTGTGGCGGCGACGGCGCGCCGTGTCAGCCGGCTGAGCCCCCATCTAATCAGCGGGTCTGATGCGGGGCCGACACGGCAGCCGGCGCGGGAGGAGCCGCCGCTGGGTCCCAGGCTCTGACGGACGCGCCAGGCGGACCTGGGCGCAGAGCCGGCTGAGCGCCGACAGCACCGACAGGGCGCTGACAGAGCATCGACTGATCGCCGATAGAGCACGGACAGAGCGCCGACAGAGCACGGGCAATGTACCGACAGAGCACGGACAATGCACCGGCAGAGCACGACACTGCACCGGCAGAGCGCTGACAGAGCATAGACTGATCGCCGATAGAGCACGGACAGAGCGCCGACGGAGCACAGACATTGCGCCTGCAGAGCAAGGACACTGCACTGCATCGGCAAAGCACCGACACTACATCGCCAGAGCACGGACGCGGCACCGGCAGAGCGCTGACAGAGCATAGACTGATCGCCAATAGAGCACAGACAGAGCGCCGAAAGAGCACGAACATTGCACCGACAGAGCACGGACACTGCACCGACGGAGCACGGACACTGCACCGCATTGGCAAAACACCGACACTGCACCGTCAGAGCACGGACACTGCATCTGCAGGGCACGGACACTGCACTGCATCGGCAAAGCACCGACACTTCACCGCTAGAGCACGGACACGGCACTTGCAGAGCTCTGGCAGAGCATGGACTGCTCGCCGTTAGAGCACGGACAGAGCACCGGCAAAGCACGGGCAGAGCGCCGACAGAACACCGACCGAGCACGGGCAGAGCGCCGGCAGAACTCAGGCAGATCTTGGGCAAAGCGCTGATAGCGTACTGACAGAGCACCAACGGACAAATTCACGCCGAAATATTTACCACGAAATAATGTGTAAAGCTCTATCGCGAAATGGTGTGGAACTGCACGCTGCGCGGTCCTCGTCATGACTGGAGGTGATGTGACAGGCACGTGGCTGAGTAGCACGGACACCACGGGCAAGCAGTGCTCTGTGCGCCACTGTGTGGTACCTTGTCGGGACCGAGCCATTCGAGTTGTGGGGACATTCCCGTTGCAGTATACCTGGCGAGGCTGGGGCAGTCATGACGTTTGGTGAATGGTGCCTGAGTCAGGGTCGATTGCTCCAGATAGGCGAAGAACCTTTTTATATGTCATTGTGTCACGGCGCCCGCGAGGAGATGTTTGATGACTGGTATGTCGTGTTGTGCGTCCGCAGGGTAGTGTGTGCACGGACTGGTTTTGGGCGTGCTGACCAGGCCTGACGTGTGACTGCGGGGTTCAATTCCAGGATCGGAGAACAACCTGCAGGCCTTCATCTCGATGGACCCTCGCGTCGGCCAGGGCCAGGTGTTCAACCTGCCTGACTTCGTCAACAAATTCTACAAAAACTACGTTAACATATGAGCGTGTGCGTCCACCTATCGGCTGGAAATCGAAACTCAGTTTTGGCAGCCTCCGACCAGGCTGGCTCCAGGTTCGGAACCGCGATCCATGCGGACGCCAGCAGAACGAGACTCAACGAGTGTGGCCCGGCGTCCGCCAGCGCATCTCTCGGCATACATATATTCCTCATTGATAAAGCGCCTTACTGTTCGCCTTAATTTTGGTGTTAGTCTAGACTGGACAGGGCAGGCGTGGCGACGGCGCTGCCGTCTGGCGAGGCGGACGCGCCGCCGACCATCTCCCTGTGACGCGTGGTCGGGTGAGAGCCGTGCCCCTGGCCGGGCCCGCGCTGGGCGCCCCCGGCGGCCCCGACGGCCGGCCGCCTGCGCTGTCGTCTGAGTCACACGCGCGGGGAGCGCCGCCGCCGTTTGGCCCGCTGCGGGCCGTCGCAGCCGAGGAGTTTGTCGCGATGAGCGGTCCGCGCGCCGTGGGAGGCGCCGCGAGCTGTCAGGAAGAGGGCAGGCGATGACCCGGAGCGTGTGGGAACGCTGCCTTGGAGTTTGTGCAATATCTTATTGCGACTGCTTTCAGCTTACAACGCATCATTGTCGCGCTTTCGCATGTCGGGCCGACTTTGGGTCCAGTGGCAGGTAGCATTGTTTTCAGCGGTGTTCATTTTCCATGCGTTATTGAGCAAGTTTCTAAGTTAACCCGAGTTCCTCTCAGCGACGTTTCGTTCTTAGAAATCGCGTGTTGCGCATAAACGTGTAATTGCCCTCCGCCACGGTGGTTGAGCGTCCAGGTGTGTGATCCAAGATTGCCTTTCCATTGTTACGGACTACAGGGCGTTAGATCTGCGCATCCCTGGTGCCACTTATTGACGCAGTTAGAAATTGCAAGTAGTTCTGTTTCATTACGTTGTGAAGCATGTGTTCAAAGCCCGTCTTGGCGCCGTCAACAGCTGTGATTTTCTGCGAGACATATTCATCGGCGTTTACCCATCGTGCCACCCCCGAGCGCTTCGAATTAGTGCTGACAGAGCGCATTTTTGTGTGATAGTTTTTGTTAGCTCTTAGCGAGCTTTTCGGTCTTCAAGTGTTTAGCCTCAGCCTTCCATACTCTGTTGCAATGGCCCCCGTGATCGCTGACGCAAGGGCGCCGTCGGTAAGTTGCCGCCGTTGGCGTACTTTTGTTTCGCTCTCCGGGGGGGGGGGGGGGGAGGGGGGAGTGTCTGTCTGTGCTCGTACTCTGGTTTGATCCGTTTCCAGTCGTGGTTTTGATGTACTAGAGCTATAGTTGGCGTCTTGTGGCGGTCTGCTGTCACACGGCCGCGTTGTGTGACCACGGCCTGCCGCACTGGCGGCCCGGGGCCCGGAAGCTCCGGCGGAGGCGGCCGGCCGCGTGGCGTTGCACGAAACCTCGGACGGCGGCGTCCGGTCCGAGGGCAGGCTGCTCACGGCGGCCGCGGCCGGCTGGCCGGAGCGCCGCCGCCCAGCGGCGGGCGGCGCACGTGTCGTCGGGGCCTCTCCGTACGCGGCTGGCTGCGGCCGGCGGCCGTCGGAACAGCTCGCTCGTCGCCGCCGGGGACGGGCCTGCGTGCGGGCAGAGCCGCGGCGGCCGAGCCGGCGCTGGAGGAGGGGCCAGTCAGAGAGGCCCTCAGCCCAGCCGCCGGGCGGCGGCACGCGCGCCGGCCGCACCGGCGGCGGGTCGTCTTTGCTTCGCCGCTATGCGGGCGTCTTCACTCTTCGTCGTGGTGGTGTTGTAGCTTGTGGGGCTGCTGCGCCGTTGAGTCTCCCGCCTGTTGCGGTGAGGCGGCGCCGCGCGGGCCGGGCGAGATGCGCCGACCACCTGTTTGTCTCGCGTTTGTACGTTTGTCCATTCAATTCTTCTACCTAAGCATACGAGTGATATACACTTTATGTCTTTCCTCTGAAGTACATATGTGCTCATTTAGACTAGAGTCAGTCAAATTGCAAGTAGTTTGGACTTAGGCATCAGTCGGCAGTCGGCAGTCAGCAGTCGCCGATCTTTCAATATGCGTGGCTCCTTGGTTTAGTTGCAATTTCAATCGCAACTGACGCATCTCTGCGATTTTCTCAGCATCAGGGAGCGTGACATCTTGCAGGGGTTTTACTGTTAGTCGGGATCTTGCGTAGGTTAAAGAATGGTCTGCTTGGAAATTGTCCTTTGTACGCGAACTTTCTGACATATGCCGGTATATCCTTTGCATTTCCGACTTTCCCTGCACGGACGTTCACGTCATTCTGTGGTATTCGTGTGCGACGGGTTTTGTTCTGGTCCTTCGTGCTCTGATGCTCTTACTCATATACGTCAATGTGCAATGGTGCTACGACTTACCTTTCAATAAAATGTATATCGTCAGCTGTTGTTTGATGGGTGGTTCGAACCAAAACGAGCTGGGGCAGAGACCAGTAGTTTGGCTTGGAAGGCGAGACGAGGCAGAGACCGGTGGTGTGGCTCGGAAGGCGAGACGGGACAGAGACCGGTGGTGTGGCTCGGAAGGCGAGACGGGGCAGAGACCGGTGGTGTGGCTTGGAGGGCGAGGTGGGACCGAGACTGGTGGTGTGACTGGAAGGCGGGCTGGGTGGGGCAGAGACCGGTGGTGTCGGGGATTCGTCTATCTTTGCGGCCATCCGATCCGCCATCGGCTGAGTGCGCTGCCATAGGAGGAGAGCTGCCGTTTGGTGAAATCACCTTACGATTAATTCGAACAGAAACGCCAAACCGTAAAACACACGGATGTTCCCGATGTCGAGGAGGGCGGCAATTCGGCGCGATGCTTGCTGTCGGTCCCATTGTTTAGCCGGCTGTCGCTGTCAAGGTTACTTCAGGAGTAAATGGGGTGAACAGCACCCTCCTCGCATGGACATCCATGCGACGTCGGTGCGTCCAGCGTTAGCTGTAGCGGGCCGTGTGGGCGAAGACCTCATCTGCCAAATGGCGTAACTGCAGCGGCGGCGCTTAGACTGACAGACAGTGGTTTACGCTTGAGCCCAGGAGGCTATGCGCCCTAATCCAAGACAAGACAAGACAAGACATGCCAGGCAGTGGTTCGCGAGACGACGGGGGGGGGGGGGGGGGAGCGGCTTTTCGCGTTATGCCAGATTTCTCTGTGGAGCACGTGTCCACGGGCTGGCATTACGGGAGAGTCGGGGCCGCGGCCGGGTCATGCTAGGTGACTGGGCACCACGGCGTCGTGCGAGAGCCGCGCTGTGACCGGCGGCGTCGCCTCCCAACGAGCCGCGGCATGAGCGCACGCTACCCGGCTCCTGCACCGGCTACCAGCAGGCTGACCTGCCGGCGTGCGCGCCGATGTCAGATGTACGTACCTGGAACTCAAGGCACGTTGACCCGTGACTTACTTGTAGAAGGCTAGGTTTTAGGGCGGGCGGACTGGAGTGGAGATCGCGAGAACGGAACGGGGTTAACGGCGCGGTAAGTGTGTTGGATTGAGGCATGCGATGATGATATGACGGTTATAAGTTGAAAGTTTTTATGATGGGTTAACGACCTTTAATATGCCAGAAGATATCGGTTAAACGACGTTGTAATGCTAAAAAACGATTGCGTTGACCACGTGGACTCCCGGCTATCCCTGGGACTCTAACTCCAGCCCGTGTCGTGAGCTTTTCCGCCCGTCTGCTCATTGTTCTCCACATTGTGGATGTGGAGCACGACATGCAGCCGCACAGACACACAGTGGCCTCTCTCCCTCAGTGGCGAGCGCTTTCTACGAGTTCGTTTGCTGATGCTGCTTTTGTCATGATCGTTGCATAACAAGGGGATACTAATGGGCGCTGCATGACCTATAGCAGTCGATACGCCCTAAAACCCCAAATCACCATCAACAAGGGGATACTAGGTCTTGGGAATGAAACTAAGGCGCGTCATGTTAGGGGATGGGAGAAACGCTGGTGTATCTCTAGTACAAATGGGCAGCTTTCGTTAGAACTGGGCTCTTCCAGCAGCTGATTTGACAATCTTCGATGTCTGTTGTGACATTTCTTCCTCGGCGTGCGGTTATGTGTGTCCCTCGCTCTTGATGTGCGTGCGCGCGTTTACTACCCGTCGTTATTGAACTTATGGTGTGTAATGGTGTATTTACTGTAGCTGTGGGGCATGAAGTGCAGGAAGTGGAAGACGGGGTGGGGTGGCAGGGAATTTATGGAAGGTGACAGGCGGTGGCGGCGACTATTCCCCACTGCAGTACACAAGGTTAAATCATGAATGACGGCGAGCACGTGCGCACATGAGCAAGGCTTCACGAGTCGTCCACTAGCTCGCAGCGCCTACGCCGAACCAAATCATGACGTTCGAGTGCAAATTGACAAATATTTTGTTGATCGGCTCCTTCCACCTTTTTCGCACGCTAGATGCCGGTCTCTATCAAACACATTGAATAAGATGTTGACAGGCCACGAACTAGCTAGCTGCCCTGTGCCGCCTTGGAGCTAATTGGGAGAGGGCTGCGGAATGCGATTACGAGACCTCTAAGCAAGTGGTTGAGTGCCTAGCGGGAGCCATTGGTGGTGGTGGTGGGGCTGAGGCTGAGCCTCTAAACCTTTCAAGGTGTACATATTTTCCATACCGGGGCGGACAACAAGGAAATAAGGGACCTCTCTCACCGCCCCTCCCCTAACTAAACCCCACAGCAGGGACTGCAACCATGTTTTGCGTTGTTTTGGTCCATAGCACTCCGTCGCATCATTTACTCTTGTTTTCAAAAGTGCTCCCAAAGTGACATTTTACTTCCTCAGAGGTTAAAAGATCGCCAAACTTTGAGCTTTTCAACTTTGGGGAATACTTCAAAGGCATACTCTATTGAGGCCTGGAGACCAGTTAAGTTTTATAATAGCACTGATTAGTATCACTGCAGCACCTTGGGGACATAATAAGGACATGCAGTTTAACTGTACTCAAGCCGAAATTCTGTTTTCAGCGCTTTGTAACAGCACGACTCAATGCTGCTATATTTCTTCCCCGAAGTCGCGGCCACCTTCGTCATGACCACGACCTTGCGTGCCTCTACTGGTGCGAGTAAAAGAACGATTGTCATTGTCCCAGCGGGCAGGGGCCTGTTTCTGAGAAGTTGGGAAGAAATCAGAGCCATAGCAGCGATAAATTTCTGCTTTTTCGTTGAATTAACGGGATAATAGCGAATTTATGTTCGCTGCTACACACATTTTTTGGCACATCAACATTTTGCAAACATTATCGGACATACACATTGGAAAAGCAAGCCAAAGTAGCGGTGTTGTTTTCACCTTTATGAAATTTCTTTTGAGAGAAATCCCGAGAGAAATCCTTTCTGAGGGAAACCGTTTATGAGAACGAGATTTCTCATGAAGGGTCGGCTACTTCAAATCGAAGTTCTGGGATATCTAGAAGAATTTTGAGCAAAGTGATATTACTGATCAAATCTCACGGGTCTAACTAAGGCGCGTAACAATAAACGATAGCAGATAGATCAGTGGTATGATGTAGCAAACGGTGAACAGCACAAGCAAAATGAGGTGGTCTCTTTAAGGCATGCCGTAGCATTTATGCATATTGTTACCTCCCAAAAATATAGCTAGACTGGAAGGAGTGCGGCGGAAAGCAGCTAGGATGATAAATGCGACTCAGAATATAAAGAAAGGCTTAGGGACTTGCCTCTGCGCGCATTGAAATATTGTAGACTTAGAAGGGATCTGATAGGTATAAAATATGATAAGGGCGATAGAGAAGAAAGATCTACATGGAACAGTGGACACTAAGTTGAGATTTAGAGAAGACCAGCTCCATTTAGCACCAACGACACATCCCATGTCACGTTCCTTTTATGTTAAGACGTCATATTTAGTCACCAGGTTGACCAATCAACAAGAAATACACAAACACTCCGCGTCAAAAAGGAATCGCTGGTTGATCCATCGGAATGGCCTTGATGCGCCAGCATCGTGCCATATCAATGGCTTAGTTTAATCAGTGTGGGGATTGGTGTGTGAGCGGGGGCCGCGGTTGTTGCCATAGATAATTTGGAGGGTAAGATGATAGAATCCGAAATATATTCCTATTTTAGGATTGCTTATGGTGTCTGATGTTTTTAAAGCTTCAAGTAATGAACAATTTGTTATTGCATTGTCAGGTACCATTTTCCAGCGTAACCAATATCCATGTGATGCATTGAAAACGTCAACAGATGAAAATATAACCTTGCAGCGTAAAACACCAATTTTAACAATTCCTACCCTGGTTTTGCCTGTATTAATGGGAAAAGTCCGCATTTGGTTAGTGTAGCATGCATCATATATCAGTAAATTAATTCATTTACAATGGCTGATATTCTTTTAGACCAATGTACTGATATACTTTTACATGAAAAAGACTGCTCTTAGACAGCATGATTTCTCTATTTAGTAAATATAGTCCTCATATATCTCTAAGATGACTTTTACTTCAAAACTACACACATGTGCCGAGTACTCCCTTTGTGATTTTATGGTGACATGCAACCTTAGTCCTTTCCTGGGTGTAATGTAACACTGTTCCCTAAATCCTATCTTCTCACACTTGGGTAACCTTCCATTTATCCCCTCCCCCTCCATGCACAATGTAAGTGCTGTACAGCCCCCTATGTAGTCAGCCCTAAAAGGATCTGGGTGAGAGAAAAGAGAGTGGTACTCGTGAAGACATTGGAGTCCAAATGTTGGATGGAGATAGCTTCATTTTTTGGAGGGGAGGGGATGAAGATATAACACAGTATATGCATGACACCTATGTCATGTGTCATGTTATGATTATTTGTAAATAATTAAGCATCACACCCTCTCTCTCCTTTCCAGTTGTTATCACCATGGATGCTGGTGATGACACTGCACGGTCTAGTAGGAAGCAGAGGCTGAAAGGGATTAAGGTCATGTCTTTGGGCAACAAGAGAAAAATTGGTGTTGCTGCTTTGTCTTTCAGTGACCTGATAAACAAAGCATGTGCAAGATTGCAGGTAGGTGTGCAATTCTGAAATGAGCCATTTAAATGTTTTACTTTTTGTGTGGGTGCCCAGGACGATCAGTTCAGTGAATGGAGAGTTAGTACTGCCCACTTAGGTAGGAAAAAATGTTTGGATTGTCTTTGCAGATCTTACTAATGGTGTTTCAAAGGCCTTGGCAGAGGTGGGATTATCACAGCACCTGATGTTCATAAACACTAATGTATTATAACACCTTATGTTCAAAATGCCTGATGCATCACAACTACTGATGTGTCATAACCTCTAATGTATCATTAACACTGTTAATGCATTGGGAGGCATCAACTAGTATTGATTGCGAGCGAGAGGGTAGCCCAAACAAATCTTGTTCGAACGGCCAGAAAGCTTTGACGTGGGTGCTGTACCCGGCCTCGGTTCTGCCATCATCCTTTCTGGAATATCATATTTTGGAAGCGACTGATCGCAGATTCATACGGTTGTCAACAACAAAAGGCGCATTTCCCTCAGCTGTTCTGCATAAACCGTGAGGCATCTCACACCATCCGCGATCAGGCGTGACCTTCCTGCAGCATGGCAGTTTGAGCAAAAGTTCATCATTCTATTCGGTACGCAGGCGTAACATTTACAAAGTCAGAAAACAAACGGCGTGGGCTGAGGCGGCCGAAGATATTGCTGACCCTGGCGTCGCGGTCTCCATAACGTCCGACTCACGGGTGCACCAGTAGGCGACTGGGAGGCGGTCAACGTCACCTGTGTCGAGGCCGGTCTCGACTTCATCACACCTCCGGCCGAGCCGAGAGATTCCAGCATGAAAAGTACACAGGCGTTCAGTCCAAGCCGGTCCATAGTGACCGATGTGGACAGAAAATGTGCCTTTTCGCAATGGTTTGGTCCAGGTCACCAAAATTGTCAATTATTCGAAATTTGCCGTTCTCGTTGTCTGAAAGCACCAGACCTAAGCACGCCTTTTTTGCCGGCCAATTGTCGAGCAGTGCGATCTGAACATAAGCGTGGGAACGCCGCGGCAGTAAGCGTGTACCCTCCAGTCTGTCCTGGAAGACGGACTTCAAACGCTGCTGACCAGCAGCCAACCCCACCGCATACCGATTTGTCTCACGTCATGGGTTTCTAGGGAATTTCCAAACATTCATTACGTTGTATATTTTAGGATGAACTGTTTTTGAACCCACGGATCGGCAGTGACAGGTGCTCTCCATGATCCTTGCAATCCTCATCAGCGTACAGCTGATCTGTAGACACGTTGTGTGGCAACATCCGTGTTGTGGCGTGTTTGTCTTGGGACGTGAATAAACAGACATCTCCCTCCTTCCAGATAAGCCGGAAAGGCGTTTCTATCTCGTTGCCGGACGGCACGCTGGTCGACAAGGACTATTTCGACGTGCTAGACAACCAAACCACGGTTGTACTTCTGAAGGCTGGCGAGTCGTTGCAGCCGACTGCGAGTAAGTCCACAATGGTGATGGTTGCACGACGGGGACAAGCGCGCCTCGTCTGTGCATCGCTGGCTTACCCTGGTTGTGGCATGCACAACTGTTGAGAACCCGGATGAAAAAGTCGCTCGGACTATCTCCATTGTCTTTTGTGTTAGCGCGTGCACATTGTTGCTGCCATGTAGCTCACTGGTTGCCAGGTGCTAAAGAAGCCTGGTAAGGATTGGATGTTAGTGCCTTTCAGCCATGTCTGCATCACAAGGCAAGTTCTCTCCGTGGAATTATGGGGATTCGAAAGGAGGTGTTCTGACCGCGAGTCCAGCACTCTACCAACTGAGCCAATCAGGAAGCACATCTGGGAAAGAAGCTCCACCAACTGAGCTAACCGTAAAGAGCAGCTATCCTCCCCGGCTAGCTCAGTCGGTAGAGCGCTGGACTCATAATCAAGAGACTTCGGTTCGATTACCAGCAATTCCTGACATTTACACGGCTGAAAGCCTTACACCATCCGGTCTTGCTCAGGACTCAGTAACCCATGACGACCTTAGAGTAAAATGGCCAAAACGTTGTGTACATACCAACTCACCAGACAGGGACGATAGACCGAGCAACTATTCCATCCATGATACTAATGCCTCGTCTAAAGCATTATGCAAAATTATGTTAAGACTCCAGCAGAGGTGTTGCGAGGAGGTTACCGGATTCTGGTGACTCCTATCTGCCGCTTCCCCCGTCCGTTTTTGTACTGTAACGGTCACAGTGACCACCGCTGTGACCCCCGGTCTGAGCCAGGTCATGCCCCCGCACCGATCACGGCGGCACGGGGGTGACTGTTATTCGCAACTCTGCGCGCCCCTTTGACCCAACCCACGCAATGCCGAGTGCCTGTCTGCCGGCGCCGACCCGCCTGACGAGCCGGCCGCCGGCAGTCGTGGGTCTGGTGGAGCAGCTGCTGCGCACGTGGCGCGGCACCGAGCTGCAGGACGGCATCCGAGCCCTGCTGCGCGACGACGGCACGCCGGCCGCGCTGCTGGCGCCGCCTGCCGGCCGGCCCTGCCGCACGGCACTCAGCCGACGGGCCGACGATCCCGACTGGTTCCAAGGTGGGCACGACCGGACCCGACGCGGCCCAGATCGCCGCCTTCGGCTCCCACGTGGGGGCCCAGTTCGAACCCAGTGTGCGCTAGGACCCCAGAATGCTAAAATAGCGATTACAGTGGCTGATTCTGTACGGAAGGGGTGCGCGACGGCATGCGTCGTGTTTCTTTGCCAAATAAATTTACGGCTCTGTGAAACGAAAATGGGACAGGATAGCATATTATTTTCTGCTTCAACGCCCAACTCATAGCTATCGTTTTAAATGCAGCGCAATAGAAGTCCTCTTGTATTCCGAATGGCCACTCCTTCAGCTCTCTTTTCGATACCCTACCACACCCCCGGAACTTTGTCGTGACCCCGTCCGAACGGCCTGCAGGCCTGGACACGGCTGCCGCCACCAAGGAGGAGTACATGCGGCGGCGGTGCGAGGCGCGCGTGCGCGGCTACTTCTACAAGTCGCGCGACCAGCTGCGCGCCGCGCCGGCCGCCGCGCAGCCGCTGCTGACGTCGCTGCTGTCAGACATGCTGGACCGACTGCGCGCCGACCGCTTCCACGGGCACCGCTTCGACCGCGGCCACGCCGGTCGGCTGTGCGACGCGGCCGGCACGTTCGCCTGCCAGGGCGAGTTCGCCGCCGAGCGGTGCGGCTACGACGACCACCGGGTGAACCCCTACAGCAGCCGCGAGCAGCGCATCGTGTTCTCCACGTGGAACCTGGACCACCGGTACGGCCTGGCGGGCGGCGGCCGGCGCTGTGTGGAGGGGATCGCGGCCGGGTGCCGCTCTGTCGGCCGCGGCCGTGGCTGCGGCGCGGCCGTGGCCGACCGCGCTTATCGGTGGAGCGTGACGCACGTCAGCGGCCGGGGCTTCCGTTGTCATCTCCGATCGCTCCGGCCGTCACCACGCGATGACCCGGAACGGCAGTGCACGGTCGTGCGCGCGGTTCCGCCGCGGCGGTTGCGTGCCGATCTGACCCCCGCCGTGACCCCTGATCTCTGACAGCGTGGGCGTCGTGAGGCGCCGTCCCCTGTTGTCTGCCGCCGTGACCTATGACCTTGACCTGGCGCTTACCCCGGCAGCATCGAGAGGTCGCGGACGATCCTGCCGACGCTGGTGGAGACCGCTCAGTCGGCCGGACCGCACCGCCGGGTCAACTCCGACTACTTCTACCGGCTGCTCTTCACCACGGAGAACCTGCGCCTGGTGCACGTTGTTTGTCACGACAAGGGCTCGCATGACCGCTTCACATGCGACCCCAAACTGGTGTACGTCCGCTGACGGCGCCCCGCGGGCGGCGGTCCAGGTGGAGTGTCGTCGATGTGGCGATGGGTGGCGGCCGTGTTTTAGGATGTGTCCAGGGAGTTTGGTTTGAACTTTCGATGCCAATGCCTTTGGCTTGGTCGATCCAGTTTTTCAATGCTTATATGGGGATCGCCACAGCGATTTGGTGCGCCAAGAGCGATGGCACTGCCACACCAAATGGTGGAGTGCTAGTATAACTCACTCGGTCTGGTGATAACTGCATTCGAGTTGTGATGATACCAGCCTTGTGATTTCAACAGTCATGATCAATCTTGCCGCGTCTATTTGCCTCCTCTGATGACCATCTTGCAAGTAATTGGACATTTAGAACATGAACACGATGACGGTTAACAACTGCAAACATGTTTTTTGTCCTATTCGGCGAACTGACAATCCTACTTCTCAGATTCCGTGATTTCGGACGACTGATCACGACGTACGGCACTGAAAGACGGGGTGCAGTATCATTTGCACCCACGCATGCGGGTGCAGGCGATCTTGCCTGAATGCTAGGAACATTGAGCAACGGTTTCATACGATATGGAGTGATCGTAGGTGGACGGCATAGACGAACGTGTGACGGCATAGACGAACGTCGTGTGACGGCATATATGAGCTTGTGACGGCATAGACGAACATGTGACGGTACAAACGAACTTGTGACGGACATAGACGAACTTGTGACGGCATAGCCGAGCTTGTGACGGCATAGACGAACGTGTGACGGGATACATGTCCCTTAGGACGGCATGCATAGCCTTAGGACGGCATACACGGCTTTGTGACGGCATACACGACCTTGGGACGGCGTGCACTACCTTGGGACGGCATACACTACCTTGGGACGGCTCATCATCACGGCTTCTCTACTGTCGTGCCAATTATAACCAACTTTCCCCGAGCGCTAAGAACGGGACGTAAAACGACTTCCATATGTGCATAAACGGAGCGTGAACAACTGGGCTGACCAAGGTAACCAATGTTGGACTATACGAAATGTATGCATGTGGAGCGGCTCGGCACACTCGGATGACGGTGGATCAGTCGGGCTGGGTGTTTGAAGTCGTCACGAAGATCTCTGTCAGGACGGTCGGCGATTACTGCCGACCAACAAATGAGCTAGTTTTGTCATACTTTTGTGATCTCTCCGATCTCGTGTTTTTGGGACCGTGTCACATGATTACGATTTTTTTAGATAAAAGTCAAATGTGAACGTATTGTTTCCCAAGATATTTGGCTGATTCAGACCACAAGACGTTCAGTATTTCGAATGGGCCGTATGTTTTGCGAGAAATCTTCCCCGAAGGAAAGAACCTGACCATGCTTAGTTGCTGGCGAGCCGTTTTTGTTGCGCCGACAGCCCCCTGTTGGTTAGTAATTGTCAGTTGCCTTTGTACGTCGTTCGTGCTTGCCTTGCTGTTAGCCGGTGTGATTTAATTGTTGTCATTATCGCCGGATCGGGGTTGCAAACCAACTGCCTTATCGTTTGATAAATGCGTATCTGATCAGGCACGTGGTCACGCGGCCGTTAGTCACGTTCCCGTTGATGGCCGGTCATTGTCTGCAGTGAGCTGTCATTGCATGTACGCATTGCATTGTCTATTGTTTCACAGCGCTAAGGTGCCGACTGATGCTTGCCAAACGCCATTAGTGTATACGACGCAGTGTTTGGGGCGGTTTGGCTAGGCTGTGAAGGAAAAGTCGGATGTGACCATTGTTTGTGCCTTAAAAGGGTGGTAATTTCGTGTTCAATTGACATTGTTTGCGGCGAGGCCGTGGTCACCCTTATGGATCGGGGTGCACCGATGCCCCCGTGCCTATGTGCCAGTTTCCCCACCGCCCTGTCCGTGCCTTTCGACAATGACTGTGGTGACTTGCCAGTGGTAATGCGACGCGGTACTTGAAAATTTATAGATTTCTGTGAAGGATGTTTGTTTGCTCGCAAGGCTGTACCTAAGGCGGCTGGTGCCTCGCCGGAACTCATGTGCCAGGCCTATCGATCGGGAAGCGGTGCATGTCGTCCACACCGCCGCGAGCGAGTCGGCGCTGGCTGGGTCTGGCCGCGAGCGAGCCGGCGCTGGCTGGAGCAAGTGAGGGAGCCGGCGCTGGCTGGGTCTAGCCGCGAGCGAGCCGGCGTCGGGTGGGGCAGGCCGCGAGTGAACCGGCGCCGGCTGGAGCAAGTGAGGGAGCCGGCGCCGGTTGGGTCTGGCCGCGAGCGAACCGGCGCCGGCTGGAGCAAGTGAGCGAGCCGGCGCCGGTTGAGGCAGGCCGCGAGCGAGCCGGCGTCGGCGGCTGGGGCAGGCCGCGGGCAGGCGGACACCGCGCGTTCCTGCTGCTGCAGGCTGGCGGCAGCGGCGGGCCGGCGGGCCGGTGTCCGCAGGTTGGGGAGAGTCAGGCGCCGCCGCCCGTCGAGCGGCGTCGCCGGGCAGTGCCACATCCAACAAGCCCTCGGCCGCGGGGCAGTGCCGCATCCGGCAGGCGCCGTCGTGTGGGGTGCAGTCATCTGGCGACCCAGAGCCTGCAGTAGGCTCCAGACAGGTCTCACTGCACCGTGAACGGCGCTGCATGAAAATGGTAGATGTGAGGGGATCCAGAGCTGGAGAGAAAAAGCAAACAGGAGAAATGAACAGTTCTCCATGTTTACTGGATTATCAGGCGTGCTACATGTAAGTGAGCGAACAAAGCCTGTTGCTCACATGCTTGAGTGCAATAAGCGCAATGCTAGCAAAATTGACATTTCCAAGACTGGCACTGAAACCTGCAGAACTGCCCACCGTCTGACCTTCGTAAAATGTTACGCAGACGGATCTTAAACCCCCTGCATTCAACAAGCGAATGGCCCAGGATGGTGGCGCCATAGACTTCCCCTGCCCGCACGCCTCGCTTATTGAACAGTTATCGATGCACGAGCACGTAGAGAGCGCCGCTGTCTGGGCGGGCGTTGGCCGCGTTACTGCCGGCGGCCACCACACATGCCATGTGTAGGTCAGACCGGTCAGCGAACTTCACTGGATGCCATGCTGTATGCATGCCCGCTGCCTGGTAACCTCTACCCTCGCCCCCGCTGTGTACGTGCGCACATGCCTTGTCGGTTGCAGCCTGTCAGTGTAATCTTTGTTGCATCTGGGCTAATAAGGGTCCGAAAATTGAGGTCATGGATTATCGGCCGGTCTGTCGGACGGACGGGTGGCGCCGCGGTCGGCCCCGCCTCGGCGTCGCGTGCACTGATGACGTGCTCGATGGCGGGCTCTGGGGTGAGCGCTCGCCCGGCGCTAGCTGGGGAGCTGCGTGCTGCGGGGATCGGATGGTGTTGAGGGGATGTTGGTGACCGAAGTGCACGGTGCATGACTAGGATTTCACCGCCAAAAAGCGGCGCATTGACGATCGCGAGGTTGTAAAACCACCGCAATGTTCCCAGGCTCGCGTGACTATTTTGTTTAATAAGCGCTTGTGTTCAAGTGTGTGTCGGTCCCCATAACCTTTGGAAGTACGAGTTTACGAGCAGCACACAAACTGGGTGTTGCTGACGCGGTTTTCCCTGTATAGACTCGGGACGCCTACGGGCACAGGTTTAATGACTGCGGTGCCTTGGACTGTTACAGTCTCTCTCGACGCCTGGGTTTCGGTCGTCGCCCCAGTCACACCACAGTCGCCGCCCAAGAGAGGGGCTAGTACTGGATCGGTGCTGGTCCTCTGTATCTCGCACGTTGCGCCCATCGCTTCTTTGCGGCAGAAACCACAAGCTGCGCCAGGCATTTTTAGACATCGCCCTCAGAATTAGTGAGATATCACTGAGCGACGAGCAGCAACAGTAATACCACACTCCGGCTCTGCCCTTTATTAAACCAGTGAACCTTACCATATGTTACCAAGTGACAAGAGTCCTACACAGTTATTCTACCTGACGTCACACAGGAAGCCTCTGAGAATATAGCGTCGCATCCGCAATTAACGGAGAAGGGATGCGGCGGCTTCGACGTACCCTGCCTTCACATGCCGGTGTACCTGCCGAACATCAAGCGCATTCCGCACGCGTCCAGGGGCGCGCTCGGGGCGTCAGCAGGGCGCCTCCTGATCGTCAGTGGCCCGTTCTGGGCGGCTGAAGCTCGTGCTCGGGACGCCGCCGTTGGCACCGCCTGCTAGTGGCTTCCGCCGGGCCCCTCGCGACCGCCCGACCTCCCCGAGCCATCAGCGACGTCTGGGCGAGGAACCTCGTGGCAAACGCTCCAGTCAAAGATGGCGCCGTTCTCCGCCGGCCGGGCCGGGCCCGGCGCGGTGTGGCACGCGCTGGCCGTGCAGACTCCCGAGCCCCGCCTCCGGCCGGCCGCCTACAACTTGTAGGCGTTTCGGATCATGAGGTCGAAGTAGGCGTCAGTGTCGATGGAGGCGCTGACGCCCGAGTAGTAGTCGATGAACTCCTCCTTGGTCACCTGCGGGCGGCGGTCGATCGGTTATGCCGGCCAGGCGCGGCGGCGGCTGTACACCGCATTGATTGGCGCGCCTTGCGGGCTCGGCTGATGTGCCGGGCCACTGGCGGCGGACGAGCGCGGGATTCACGGGACTATGCGTTGGCTGGCTGCCCCGACTTACCCGCAGGGCAGCCCGCTCCATGTCCAGGATCTCTGCATCGATGTCCGTGGGTACAGTGGGATAAGGCGAGACCCAAATAAAACTGGAAAGCTGGGGCCAAGGGGCTACCAATACCTGTTTTGACCGAAGTCAGAGCCCTCGCGCAAAGCGCGTTTGGTCTTGCTCCTCTCCTTTGAACAGAGAGGGCGCTTTGCAAGCCTCCCGACCGTCCGCGTGATCATTGAAGCACACAGTCCCCCACCGCGGAAGGGCGGTGCCTCACGGGGGGCGGGGGAGGGGGCAATCGCGCTGAAGTTAGGCGGCTGTTGGCTGTAGCGTGCGGCTGGTCCATCACCGCAGTGGAAGTAGTAAACTACGCTGTTATGCTGTGCCATCTATCGATGTGACGTTCTACGAAGTAAAACCGGATGTCGAGGTAATCTTCTCGTTCGGATACGGCTTGGAATGCAATACAAGTTTTGTGAACCACCGGCGAGAAAGATGCTTAACGTCTTCGTGGCTGCATGCAAGTGTTATGTCATGCCATACTGCCGCATTCGCGTGTCTCAATATGCTGTGGGCAGTAAGCAGCCGCGATCAAAGGGGCTTAAATCGGTTCACTAGAAATCCGTTCAGCCAAAGTGAAATGACCTGGCAATTCGGACAGGCCTCAACCTCAGGCGAAGATCTGGCAATCCAGACGGGGTTCAGCATTAGAGGAAGCTCTAATGGCTTGAGCAAGGCTGTGCGCCTTAGAGGAAGATCAAATGGCTCGAGCAAGGCTGTCAGCGTTAAGGGAAGATCTAATGGCTCGAGCAAGGCTGTCAGCCTTAGAGGAAGGTCTATTGGCTCGAGCAAGGCTGTCAGCCTAGGAGGAAGATCTAATGGCTCGAGCAAGGATGCCGGCCTTAGAGGAAGATCTAATAGCTCGAGCAAGGCTGTCAGCCTAAGAGGAAGATCTGATGGCTCGAGCAAGGCTGTCAGCCTTAGAGGAAGATCTAATGGCTCGAGCAAGGCTGTCAGCCTTAGTGGAAGATCGAGTGGCGTTGGCGGGCCTCAGCCTCCTTGGGTGGGATCTGGCGGTTCGGCCAAACAAGCATCGCTGCAGTCAATCGGACGAAGGCTGCACTCTTAAACCGCTGAACTTTCCAAGGGTGACCTCATGAAGGTGAGACTGCGGCCTCGCAGAAGCTAGCTGAAAGAGGGCGGAGGTGGCTTGAATGAGGCAGGAACAGTCAACAAGTGAGGCGTAGACAGGCTGGGAGAGGGGAGTGTGTGAGTGTACGACACGTTTGTTACGCTCCCGCGGAATCCACACTTCATGCATATATGTCAGATAAATGCGTTGGCTTTAGGAAGGAATCAGCCGGACGGTCGTTCCTGAATCCGGACCCTAAGTCTCATCATTCTCTCCAAGGTGAGACAGTGGGACGGAAGACACCGCGATTTCCTCCACATGCCAACGCACGACAGCGGCAGTGAAGACACCTCTCGGCGTGGTCCACACAACCCAAGCTAATCCCAGCGACCCTAGCAGACCAGTGAGCCCTCCCGCTGCCACCCGACCCCGCGGCCGGCGGCGGCCGTCCCAGAGCCCCGCCACCGGCAGGCTGGCGGCGTGTGACCAAGAGCCCCACCACCGGCAGCCCGGCGGCGGCCGTCCCAGAGCCCCGCCATGGGAGGCCGGCCGCGTGTGACCCGCTTTCGCCGGTGGGATCGCGAGGTTTTTACCGCGCCGGAAGACGCCACGTAAAAACGGTGCCGCCGCGGTGTGGCGCGAGGGTGGGCAGGCGGAGCGGGCGCGGCCGCCGCCACAATGGGACGCTGGGAGATGGTGTCACGGCAGGGCGACCAGGGTGGGCGCTGTCTCACTGGCGGCCGGCAAAAAGTGCGCTGTGGATGCGAAAGCACGAGCGGTTCCTTCGCGCACAATGCGGTGTATGTGAACAAGCCGGGCTTGGACAATGAAACATGCAGGACGCCTGATGCTTTCAGTGGATGCGATTAGGTTCCATGCAACAGAAGTGTTGAGCTTTTGGCTCTCGTTTCCCACTTGTTCCGTTAGTAACAATATGCCATGCATCCGTCTATGAAATGGGTTTCGTGTGGGATTGGTAACCCCCCCGCGTGAATGAGTTGGGAGGCTCCTCGAGGGGCAGACCCGCCCCGAGCTCCTAAGCCTCCAGGCGCACCTTGCCGTCGACCGTGCCGTTCTTCTCGAAGTTGGCCAGGTACTGATTGAGGATCTGGTCCTTGGTGAGCTCGCCGCTAATGTACTTGGGGTGCGAGTCGACGCTGTACGTCTGCCGAATGTCCTCCAGACTGAGCACGCCGTCGCCGCTGGTGTCCATCTTGCGGAACGCCTCCATCAGCACGTTCCGCCGGGCGGCCGACATTGGGGGCTGTCGGCGGCGATAGAGGTCAGGGGTCAGGGTGTCGGCCGAGGTCACCGTAGCGGTCGAGGTCAGGACACTTGCTGAGGTCAGTACCAAGCGAGGTCAGGATAACGACCGGGGTCAGGATATCAGACGAGGTCCGGGTACCAACCGAGGTCAGGGCACCAGACGAGGTCGGGGCACGGCTAAGGTCAGTACCAGACGAGGTCAGAGTAACGACCGAGGCAGGGTACCAGACGAGGTCAGGGTACGGTCTGAGGTCAGGATACCGGACCAGATCGCGGACCGGCCGGGAGCAGGATACCGGCCGAGGTCAGGTTACCGGTTGATGCCAGGTTACCAACTGAGGCCAGATTACTATCTTTCTCCTTGCGCGAACAACAAACGGTTAATATCGAATTGCGTGCCGCCGTGACTAAAGCACGGTCCGCGCTGCATTGGCGTGGACCTGGGGCGGAGTAATATATCTTCCCATCACATTTATCTACCACAATTCAAGGTGCGCCCCCGGTCGCGACAAGTCGACAACTGTCGTCCAGAAAGGCGTGCTGCGCTCTTGCGGCCTCTGAGCCGCCAGCCGTCCAGCAGCGGCGGTTCGCTGCAGCACCCACTCACGCGAATATTCTCCAGGAACTCGTTGAAGCTGATGGAGCCCGACTTGTCCTTGTCGAACGCCTGGAACATGGCCTTGAGCTCGGCGTCATTCAGCTTGAGGCCGGAGTCCCGCATGCCCTCGCCGAACTCCTCCAGGTTCAGCATGCGGTTCTTGTCGTCGTCCATGCGACGGAACACCCTGCCGCCGGACGGAAGAAAAGTCAGCTACGGCGCGGGCGGCGTCTGCGGGTCGCCACATGCCGCCAGTCTGAACAACACGCATTCCCCGTGCGGTCATGGCGGACCTTCGTGGAGCGATGCCGGTTTGGTGCCATCCGCACACATCGACCAGCACCGGTTTGGCCATGTCCCGCGGCATGCGGTTCCTGGCCGCCTGGCGAGAGGGTGGCCCGCCATGGCTCACAGCACCGCAGCATCGACCCGCTCATGACGACTTCCGGCCGCATGCCGTTACTGCAGTGTGGTCCAGATTCATGGCGGCGGGACAGGAAGGGGGCGGGGCGGGGTAGCTGGTCCCATCCCCGGGCAACGTCTGACTGGTGGTGCATCGAAAGAAGCGATGTCGAATTCGAACTCAACCCTATTCTCACATCACCACAGAACTTCTGCCGTCACGGTCTGAGCTGTTATGAGCTGCAATTTCGCTGTGACGACCTGAAATGCCTTTTCCTGCTCCCCCGGACGAGAGCAAATGTGGCGTAAATGCCTGGTGAGACCGTCCGCCCAGTGGTCTGCCCGCTGGGTCGGAGCGGGGTCCTGCATACGGAGTATGCCACTGGCGGCGGCCCCGCTGTCGGAGCGGGGTCCTGTATACAGAGTCTGAGCACTAGCGACAGCCCCGCTGTCCCTGGCTATGTATACGCTGGCTCTATACGCTATGTATATATATATATATATATATATATATATATATATATGTATAATCTAAACTTGAACTGCATGCAAGCATAGTGCGACTAGATGCTATCTCACAGCCTACAGCTCCAACCCACGAGTCTTCACTCCGGAAAACTTATCTCCACGCCCCATTTCATAAATGGACCATTCCTTTCGGGTCCGCCTCGGTGCGGAGGGCAGACGGAAGGCGGAGAGTTCCACTGCGGACCGGCCGACACGCAGCTGTGACTCAGCGCTAGGACCGGAAGCCGCTCCCAGACGCGTGACGTCATCGCGGCGTGTCCTGTCGCTCGGTCGGTGCCGGTTCGTGTGGACTCGGTCACGCTGTTTTGATTGACAGCAGGTCCAGTGCCGGTGAAGGGTGCGGTGGTAGGAAGCGTTGTCCACGGATCTTGACATTTTTGAGTCGTGATGCCGAGACTGGTCACGTTTGTTGAATCGCACTGCGCCAGCGTCACGCTCTGTAAGTGTGAGGCGATTGCTCCGGGACATGAGAGCAAGTGTAGAGAATGCGGAGAAAAGTGTTTGAACCGCAACGGCCCGACCGAGTGCATCTACCTAGATGATGACGATTATGATTGAGGATTAAGGGTGCACCGACTGCATCTGCCAAGGAAATGGTGAAATTACGCCATTTCGGCAAAGGATGGGGTGTCGGCTACCAAGGCAGCGAAGCTGCACTTTCCAAGCTGGTTTCTGTGCGATGGCCAGCTTCTTCTTTCCGACATGGAAGCCTCATTTTTACCAGGAGATCCCCGCAATGGTAACGGTTGCATCATCAGTGAGCGTCACACGCGCCGATGGCAGGCCCCTACCAGCAGACCCATGTACCTGCAGGCCTCTATATCAGCAGACCCCTGTACCAGCAGACTTCTGTACTAGCTGACCCATGTACCAGCAGACCCCTGTGGGAGCAGACCCCTGTGCCAGCAGACCCCTGTGCCAGCAGGCTCCTGTATCAGAAGACCCCTGTACCAGCAGACCCCTGTACAAGCAGACCCCTGTGCCAGCAGGCTCCTGTATCAGAAGACCCCTGTACCAGCAGACCCCTGTACAAGCAGACCCCTGTGCTTAACAGACCCCTGTACCGGCAGAACCCTGTACCAGCAGAACCCTGTACCAGCAGATACCTGTACCAGCGGAACCCTGTAACAGTAGGCCCCTGCACTAGCAGATCCCTGTACTCAGCAGACCCCGGTACCCAGCTGTACACACCACGGCAGCAGGGCCCTCTACGAGACGCTTCCATACCTGCCAAAACCGATGATGCCAGATGATCCCCTGGACAGCAGCTGCAAGCGCAGCTTCTCCACGGGGTCGGTGGCCGTCTCCAGCGCGCGCTTGGATTTCTCCATCATCTCCTGTTCGTTGCGTGTCTGGGCGGTGGCGGGGCGGTTCATCCTGAAGCAGAGGGGCCACCTTCATTTCAGAAGGCGCCAGCGGCCTTGCGCGTCCTAATCACGTATTTGCGTGCTGAGAAAGAGCAACACCCTGCAAGCTATTTAACAATCAGTAGATTGTGCTTTAAGTTGGATATTATGGGACATAAAAGTTTGGTGCAAACGGCCTTCAGAGGGTTGGTCATCGATCTAATCTGGATGAGTCAGCCAACAGGACTAAGTGCAGAAGTGGTATGTCCATGTGGAGCCGCTCGACTCAGGTCAACTAAATCCACACTTGTTTGCACTAGACATGCGAATCAACTTAAGAAGCCTTCATTTGTATTTCATCGAATTCCTGCCTTCCTTTGCTATGCATGCCCCACGGGATACTTGTGGTTACCGTCACGCTACTTTAAAGCCGTCCGATCACACGGAGACCAGCAGTTTCTCCCGCCGCGGACCCGCGCGCCGCGCCCGCCCGGCATGCATTGCTGCAGGGGCCGGTTCCGTGTCCATGGACACTCGTCAGCGTCTATCTGGTGCTGGTGTCGGCGTGGTTTCCGTGCCGTCTCGACCGTGGGTGCACCGCAGCCGCGCAGTCTCGGCCGCCCGGCAGCGCCAGGCAGACGGCCGTGGGGCGACACGTCACCACCCGCCCCTGTCACGCTTCACGCGTCACGTCACCCGTCACGCCGGCGCGACTCACGGCCGCACGAGTCACGCCACCAGACCTGGAGCGGCCCAGGCCGACACGTTTGGTGAGGCTTCCCAGCCGGCTGGGTTTTTCGTGCACGCGACTGCAGCTTTTGCGCGCCGCTGCTAACGGCTGCATTGTGCAATGTCTGCGGCCCCTGCGCCGCTCCTCCTGGCGATGGTGATTCATTCGGATGCGGCCGGCCCTGCAGGGCGAGGCCAGCGCCCACACCGGCCCTATCACCCGCGTCGATAGCGTTTGCATGCAGTATGGAGCGCGCATGCCACTAGGTCATCCGGGTCGCGTCTTGGTTACACCCCAATAAAGGCCCCGCGTCACGTCTCAGAACTGCAAAGTGACCGGGAGGTCAGGTGCAAGCTTGGGTCTACGCCCAGTGCACTATTTCGGGCTGGGCTCATCCACGATAGTGAGGATGAGCACAGCTCGAAATATTGAATGGCGTCAATTTAATCGTTCTTTAGCGTTGTAACGTCATTTGACCAGTATCTTCTGCTGTATTGAACGTCTCTTATTCAACATGAGGTCGCTAACTCGCCATAATAACTTCCAACTTATAATGCCAAAAAACCAGGAGCTGAAGGTCTTTCTTCCTTATATCAAGTCACTAAATCTTCATAACGGCGCCGTAGCAGTAACTTTTGTGGCAGCCGTTATGGTGTTGGACATCCAAATTATTGCTCACGTAACTGTATTGATTCATACTTAAGTGTCTGACAGCTGTTGTCAAACAAGCGGCCCCATCTAAAACAATCGTTGTCTGGTGTGATGCACAGAGCTGCGATGAAAAACGCCAACATTAACACCGTTAAACCGACACCGACACCGACAAACACCGTTAAGGCTGAGGGCCGTGCTGTCAGGTTAAGGCATTGTCGTGTCCCGTGAGGTTCACGCCGCATTATACCAATATGCCCACTTATCTGTTCCTAAATAAAGAATTGTCTACACGCATGCCATAATCTCCCACGATGACATAGTAAAACAATTCTTGTGTTGAGTGGCATGCACTTGGCCCATTAGCGCAAATGACCTGTTTACGACGGGTCTGCGGGGCACACAAGCGATAGGTAACCGCGACTTGGGGGCCCCAACCGACTGCCGCAGTCGTAAAGGTCCTCGTAATCGTACCCGTTACCTTTCAGTCTTGGCCTCTTACCACATTTGGGTTCCAGTCAAATGTTTGCTTGGGGCAGAGGTCAAGTATCGAGGGCGTTCTAAATTTATTTGGTAAAGTGCAGTTGTGGCTTGCAATGGTACTCAGTTCTGTTGCGGTAAGCCATCTTCCCAACTAGGAGCTCAGTATGAGGAAACGTCTCAGGGCGCCGTCTCCGACACTGCGCCACGTCTGATGATTCGTTAGCTGATGAGACGTTAGTCGTCTTATGGACGTCAGCGCTTGAAGGTGCCCTCGTGATGAGCTACGCCTACACGACCCACCACCATGAAGGTGCCCTCGTGATGAGCCACGCCTACACGACCCACCACCATGAAGGTGCCCTCGTGATGAGCTACGCCTACACGACCCACCACCATGAAGGTGCCCTCGTGATGAGCTACGCCTACACGACCCACCACCATGAAGGTGCCCTCGTGATGAGGTACGCCTACACGACCCACCACCATGGAGATGCCCTCGTGATGAGCTACGCCTGCACGACCCACCACCATGAAGGTGCCCTCGTGATGAGCTACGCCTACACGACCCACCACCATGAAGGTGCCCTCGTGATGAGGTACGCCTACACGACCCACCACCATGGAGATGCCCTCGTGATGAGCTACGCCTACACGACCCACCACCATGGAGATGCCCTCGTGATGAGCTACGCCTACACGACCCACCACCATGGAGATGCCCTCGTGATGAGCTACGCCTACACGACCCACCACCATGAAGGTGCTCTCGTGATGAGCTACGCCTACACGACCCACCACCATGAAGGTGCCCTCGTGATGAGCTACGCCTACACGACCCACCACCATGGAGATGCCCTCGTGATGAGCTACGCCTACACGACCCACCACCATGGAGATGCCCTCGTGATGAGGTACGCCTACACGACCCACCACCATGAAGGTGCTCTCGTGATGAGCTACGCCTACACGACCCACCACCATGGAGATGCCCTCGTGATGAGCTACGCCTACACGACCCACCACCATGAAGGTGCTCTCGTGATGAGCTACGCCTACACGACCCACCACCATGAAGGTGCTCTCGTGATGAGCTACGCCTACACGACCCACCACCATGAAGGTGCCCTCGTGATGAGCTACGCCTACACGACCCACCACCATGAAGGTGCCCTCGTGATGAGCTACGCCTACACGACCCACCACCATGAAGGTGCCCTCGTGATGAGCTACGCCTGCACGACCCACCACCATCGGCAGACGCTGCGTGCTGCGTGCCGGCTGGTGAGCCACCAATCACGGCCGTACTTACCTTTTGAAAATAGTCTTCGCGGTAGCTGAAATGACTGGATGACATAAGGCCTTGTGTTGGACATCTCCTGCCATCGTAAACTTGCTGTGTCGCAATTTATCACCGAATGGTGTTATTTCCATCATATCACACAAGTTGCCTTTCTGTGCTGCCGGTGCCCACCGTCTGTACATAGCTCTATAAAAAAATTGGCAGTGGCATGCTACCGCCGCTAACCACCGCTTACCACAGTCCACCTCACCCACCGACCGTTATCAAGCAGCACACCGGTCTGAAATGAGCCGGCATTCACCTGGACAACGGCTGCTGCCCAGCATCACCAGAGTGCCCTCCCTGGAGCTGGTCGGCGCCAACAGGAGCTCTCACCTGGCGTGTGTGTGTGTGTGGGTTGTCCTCCGGGTCCGTGCGCACGCTGCCCGCCCGACGTACTGTGTCTCACTGCGCGGATGAGGGCGGTGGCGCCGGGCGACCGGAGAAAGGCCGGCCCGCAAACGTGACGTCACAACCCGCCTCGCCGCTGGCTCCGACCCGGTTGACATGGCAACCCCGTGTCAACAGGCAGATAAGCAGGAGCGCGTGTGATGGCAAGCTGGCGCCGGCAGGTCGATCGGGCTTGTGTCGGGTCGCAAGTCACGAGTGCCGCGGAATGGGACGATCGAACACACCTTCACAAAGCCATCCCCGCGTCAATTCCACCTGCCGCCGCCGGCTTGTGGCGAAGTTTCCGTATGTTAAAATGGGAAAACGGTCCTTGTTGCGATGTAGGCACATTTGCCCTAACGTCCTCGGTCGTTTTGCGGAGGTCGTACCGTGGGGACTCGGGCGAGACAGCAGGAAATACTTCATCGCATCTCGGGTTGGATGCATCGCCTTCCACGTTGTCACCCTATAGTATGTTTATCCGAAAGGTAGCGATCGTGTGGTATGCCAATCACACGCGCAAGGGATTCCAGTGTGCCGATCGCAAGAGTCGGTGGTGGTCCTGGAGTGGCGGCTTGGGGCGTCACTTCCCATAGAGTGTGCTGATCATGGGCGGCAGTGATCCCAGGGTCAGCTCCCACCGAAGTATGTTGGTAGCACAACCAGCCTGTGGCGTATTTTCTTATCAGCCCGTAGGGCTTGCGCGTCAAGGCCTGCTCTTCACCGGACTGTGGATCGAATTTTAGGAGGCCAGTTTGGATAAATCCGGCATCAAACGAAAAATTGTTTAATGGTCTTGAGCCGATCCCTTGAACATGTTTGTCTAGAGAATCCAAACTCAGACGGCGTACCGTATCCACCAGGTCAAAGTTTTCGTGCACGGTACGCCGTAAATTTCTGACTTTCGAGACATGATCGGCGGTTTCAGTAACTCAGTCGGTAACGTGCCGGTTTCGTAATAAAAAGTTTGTGTGTTGAAAGCCAAGACGCTGTACAATTTTTTTTCCTCTGGAATATGCTGAATTGTTTCCTATGAGCCAATACATGCTGGCAGGTATATGTGATGTACAACTCTTTGAGAGTCTCTTGCAGGAATTTTGGGCATTTTGGGCATAAGTTGGCGATACATATGCATGCCAATGAGAAACTTTCGTTATTTTGCGGCACTTCGATTCGAGAGGTCGGTGATCAGAGGGATTGCCGATTCATGACGTTAGTGATCCTGGGGCCGTTGACTTAAGACGTCACTGATTCTAGGGCGCGCCAATCAGAAACGTCACTGATCCTAGAGTCTGTCGACCCGCTGCTTTAGCGATCTGATGACCTGTCAACCCGAGACGTCAGTGGTCCTAGGACCTGTCGGCCTGGGACATCAGCGAGCTTGGGGCCCGTCGACCCTGGACATCAGTGATTTTGGGGCCCATTGATTCGGGGCATCGGTGATCCTAGCTCCCATCAACCGGAACATCAGTTATCCTAAGGCCCATCGATCCGGCACGTCAGTGGTCTAAAGGCCTGCCAATCCGGGACGTCAGTGACCCTGTAGTAAATTGGCCGGGCGTCAGTAGGCCTGTGGCGTGCCGATGAGGGGCAGACTGTGTACATGTGCTCTGGCATGCCGATGAGAGGCAGACTGTGAGTATGTGCTCTGCCATGCCGATGAGAGGCAGACTGTGTACATGTGCTCTGCCATGCCGATGAGAGGCAGACTGTGTACATGTGCTCTGCCATGCCGGTGAGAGGCAGACTGTGTTCATATGCCCTGGAATGCCGCTCAGAAGCGGCGTCTCAAACCACCGGTGCACGTCGGCGGTCGCCCCCGCCAGCAGCACGTCACTCCCCCGAGACGTCTGATGACGGCAGCACTCCTCACCGCTCACTCCTCGGGTGGGCTGAGTGACATCAGAGTGTCGCCGAATGTCAGCGGCACGTCATCGCTTAGGCATGCCGGATGGCGTGTGCGTCACCCTGTCCGTCCGTGCCGTGGTTTGGCCCTGATGCACGGACTGGTCGGGCCGGTCTGCAGCGCCCGGGACGGTGGCCGGCCGGGCTGACTCACGTCTGACAGGCCCCCGGGAGCGGCGGCGGCGTCATACCGCACCTTCGGCACATCCATCTAACGCCCGCCGCTGACGCACTCACCGACCGCAGGTCGCCCTCCAGCCGCCCACTGCCCATCGTCCGGCCTCACGCAGGCTAGTGTGTCCACACATTGTCCACTGCCCACAGTCCCGCCGAAAATTACCGACCCCGAACAGCCCCGCCACTCACCAGCCCATAATGCTCGTATTCGCAAACTACCGCGGACCGCCCACTTTCAGCGAGCCGGTCAGTGACTGTGAGCGGGTCTGTGACTGTGAGCGGGTCAGTGACTGTGAGCGGGTCAGTGACTGTGAGCGGGTCAGTGACTGTGAGCGCGTCAGTGACTGTGAGCCGGTCAGTGACGGTGAGCGGGTCAGTGACTGTGAGCAGGTCAGTGACTGTGGGCGGGTCAGTGACTGTGAGCGGGTCAGTGACTGTAAGCGGTTCAGTGACTGCGAGCGGGTCAGTGACTGTGAGCGGGTCAGTGACTGCGAGCGGGTCAGTGACTGTGAGTGGGTCAGTGACTATGGGCGGGTCAGTGACTGTGAGCGGGTCAGTGACTGTGAGCGGGTCAGTGACTGTGAGCGGGTCAGTGACTGTAAGCGGGGCAGTAACTGTGAGCGGGTCAGTGACTGTGGGCGCGTCAGTGACTGTGAGCGGTTCAGTGACTGTGAGCGGGTCAGTGACTGTAAGCGGGGCAGTGACTGTGAGCGGGTCAGTGACTGTGGGCGGGTCGGTGACTGTGAGCGGGTCAGTGACTGCGAGCGGGTTAGTGACTGTGAGCGGGTCTGTGACCATGAGCGGGTCTGTGACTGTGAGCGGGTCCGTGACTGTGAGCGGGTCCGTGAATGTGGGCGGATCAGTGACTGTGCGCTGCCCACCAGCGGTCCACTTACCGCACCGATCACCATCATCCCCAACATCAGCCGTGTGACAAGTATGACATGATCAAGCCGACTGCCGAATGGGCTTTTCGATCAGTCATATGCAAGACAAATTGATAGTTGGAACAGTGGTGTTGTTTTTGACACCCCTCGCACTTTGGGAGCAGTATTACAATAATTTCATGTGCAATCTTGTAGCCAGTGTGTTTTAATTTTGTCAGCTGTATTCTCGGACCATTTTCTGGAAATTTTCTGATAAGGGTTAAATAAAGCTTTCCGGCTGCATGGGAGAGTGCATCGCTGGGTGTAGCAAACATGTTGTCATTCCATAATGCACAATGTTCCACGTTTAGGTTGCTTATTTTGCAGGCAGGCCTTGCAGTGCTGACGAAAAGACCTTGCAATGCTGACGAGGAGCATCCAACATAGAATGAAATTGCTTATATAATGTGACATCCACTCAACAGACATCGCGTGTCGCCGGCGAGCAACAAGTTGATAATAAGTATTCCCTTGGCGATTTCATTAATAACACATCCATTCTCTACCCCACAACTACACCAAACTCATTCTCCGATTGTTTTATTGCGGATTTTATGCATCAATGCGTAGCAGTTTGCTTTCAGCCCTATCCCGTAAACGTATTAGTGAACATGAACTGTTGATGCCATGACATCAAGTTGTTTTCAACAATTTGATGCGACGTTAAATTCAGGCCAAAATCTTTGAAAGCCTTTCACATGACACATTAAAATGAGACCTTAAACAAAGCATCACTCTTTTACACGAGATGCTGGGGCCTAAATCCAGGGACAATGGAAAATTAGGATAGGCTGTGTAATTTGTCCACATGGTTTGGCCCACAAGCTTCATAGCTGGACCTGTTAATGTAGCCGGATGCTTACCCGCGCATAGTAAAGCATGTTCATCGCATGCAGCAGCCCTGCCATCCTTAGGCACCTCTCCCACCGCTATCAAAAGTCGTGTTTGCGCGTTAAAAACCGTCTGCTAAAAATCTCAACAGTTGATTTGATAAACAAAGCTATAAACTTTACACACGAAGGGCCATTAGACACGCAAAGGCTTGAGGGTTTAAATGAAAAGCTCTGGAGTGCGGCGCTGACATAAGTCATTTATGACTAACTCAGCCCCCGCCCAGACAACCAAAAACACACAGCGCCGCCCACGACAACCATTGAAGAGCGCTCTCGGAGTCCTAAGGTGGCCTCTAGAGTGACACCGTTCCTTTTCAAGGAGAAGGCAATGCCCTTTCAACGCTCTCTGCTCCGTGGGTACCCCTGCATTTCTACTCTTCTGCTTGAATTAAGGTTTATTTGATAAACAATACAAATATGACAAACATCAATGGCCTTTAGTCGAAACAAAGCGGGCTACATTGGTTGCAAAATAATTGGAGAGGGGAGGTTTAGATGGTAGGGACCTTAACTGGGGCCCTAGATTATTCACAAGAGCAACGCCTCTGAATGGGCTACAGGGTAATAAATCGGACTAAGAAAGCCCTTTCATAGATCAAGAGATAAGTTTGCTGGAACATGAGGCCATCTTTATAGATGAGACAGCCGATGCTCTAGATCAGGAGGCCCAATGCTGTATTAAGGAGACCCCTTTGGTGGCCCGGGAGAACTCCGCTACAAACCAGGGGCCCTGTTCTGGGTTATGAAGCACCCTTTATATTCAGAGGGCCCCATTATAAAACGGGAGATCCCTTCCAAAGGCGGATGGCCGCGGTTCTGGATCAGCATGGCCTGTTTCTGTACAGCGAGACCCCTTGGCTAGATTTTGAATCGGAAGCATCTTTTTAAGGATAAGGCGCTTCTCAGTGCATCGGGAGGCCCTTTCCTAGAACAAGAGGCCCTGTTTTAGGTGAGCGATGTCCTTAACTGGATAATAAGAAAGCACCCAGTCTGATTCTTTTTCAACTGTAGACATTCGTTTACTTGAATATGATGCATGTAACAGTTTGGTTAGGGAGTACATGTCTTCCGTGCCCTTCCCCCTTAAACATGACGCTGTGCAGGACCTAAATCCTGTGCGCGCTAATGCTTCGGGATCCTCACTGGCCTGTCAGGACCTAACCTAGATCCCACTTGTCCCGGCAGCCCCTGGGAAATCCTCACTACCCAACTCAGAGTGCGTGGCGCTGCGCCTGCATAGCTCTATTCGGCGTCAAATTTG